CTATAACATTCATAATTAAATAAAATATCCCTTGGGGACAAAGATCGCATTCTTTATACTATATAAATTTGCCCATATTCTCACTGACCGGTAGATTTATTCCGAAAACTTAAAAGATAGATTGTTCCATCTTTGTTCTAATTAGGCTACGAGAGCTAAATTTGAAATATTAAAAAAAATTTGATGGATCGTATTTAGAAATCGAAATTCATCCAAAATAACCGTTAGTGGTGATATTGGGAATTGATCCAAATCGAAATCGTAATACGACATAAAAATCAAATGGCATATTTTTAAAAAAACAGAAAAATACGAATGGAATATGAAAATAATCGAAACACTAAATACAATTCAATTCAAACCGAATTTATTTGGTTTTAGTTTGGGTTATTTTTAAAATTCTATTCAACCCAGATTTTAAACGAATCCAAACAAAATCAATAAATTATGAAAGAAAAAGTGGATGAAAACCGATGAAATTTGAAACAAATGGAAGGAAAAAAAAATCAAACTGAACCGATTTGGTTTTTTTTTTTTGTTTTTTTTTTTTTTATACTGAACCCTACCAAGCCGATTATGAAAAAAACTCAATAAAATCCAAACCAAAATGTCGACGTGAAAGTATAATAGAGTCAAGTCCATGATCAGTGTGGGGGCTTTTCAGGCTGTTTTTAAACCGAGGGGTTTTCTTTCAAGAAAAAAAAAAGTACATGGGCTATTTATAGGCCCATCAAAATGTGAAAAAAAGGGTATCCATAAAAGAAATGAAAATTTAAAAATAAGAATTAAAAATGTCACGCATGCCGGATTCGAATGGCCAACAACGTTTAAACCCCTAAAAATATATTTGAAATAAAAAATTTCATCTAAAAAATCTATTAAGATGTGAGATATAGATGGTATGGGTGGACAAAATGTCTGAAAAATCCGAATCGATCCGTTATTCGATTCGTATCCGAACGAAAAATTCGGATATCCAGAGTTTACGGATCGGATACGGATATTTATTTGGAGATATTTGTCGGATACGTATATCGAATTGAATTATCCGATATATCCGATCTGATCCATACTTTCGTAATAATATTATTAAATATAAGAATAATTTGGTATGAAGATTTAAAATTTTTAATATTTAAACGTTTTTAGGGTGATTCAAGAAAAATTTTATATGTATTGAGGTTTATAATGTTTAATATTTTGAATATTAAGATTTATTATGTTTAATATTTTGAATTTTAAATTTTGAATATATTTGTATGAGATAGATTATGATTGTAATTGAATTGATTTGGAATGTTTAAATTATAAATTTTAAATTATGAATATCATTTATATTAAATAGATTATACATTTTATTTGGGTTTGAGTTTGTTATTTAATTTTTATTCAAATTTTTATAATGTTTTAGGTCGGATATGGATATTCGCAAATATCCGTAATTTTTAGGAATATCCGAAGTTGTGGATATCTAAAAGTTACAGATCGGATACGGATAACAAAATTAAATATTTGTGCGGATTAGATACGGATATCTCAAAAATTCCGGATACCTGATCCGTGTTCACCTCTAATAGATGGTCCTGATATATTAATCAGGACGTGCACCGTAATAGACATGGACAGAACCATTTATAAGAGAATGGGGTCCAATGTTCCCACTTTTAAATTAAAAAATATATAATTTCATTATAAATTCTATAACATTTTGATTAATAACATTAATATCCCTATAATAAAAAATTAAATTTATTTTTAATTTGCTCCCGACAATGATGATAGATACATATAATTCTCCATAAAGGAAAAAAAGGTTTTCTAATTATTATTATTTTTTTGGTTAGGTTTTCTAATTTGTATCGATCAAAAAGAAAGATATGCGTTATGATAATATCCCAAATAAAATATTCTTGGAATACATTTATTTCTGTAGAATGCACGCATATACATATATATATATACACGCATATATATATATATATACGCACACGATGGGAATGGATCCTACTCATGACAAAGGTGATGTCATCTCTTAGATTTCACAAGAATCGGGCCCATGTTCTTGGAGTGGTCATGAAAACCCGAAGAAGATGAAAAGGAAAAAATGAATCTATTAACTATTTGACCGTCACAATCGTATCATAAACATGAATTTCCGGTTCAATAATAACCTGGTCTCCTTCAAGGTTCGTCAGTCAATTCCCGGTTCGGCTCAAATTAAACCAAATCCGAAACCTCTACGTGATCCAGCAGCTCCCCGTCCTTGTTTTCCTGTCTATGCAAAATATGTATGTTGTTTGTAGGCATCCAAAACAACAATACATATAGGTTTCCCTATTTTTAAAATAATTATTCTGATAGTTCAAATTATATAAATAAGAATAAAATTGGAAAGCATAATTTGTCCGTTTTATGTATAAATATTGAAATTTGAATATAACGTTGTTATTATATACTCTTATTATTCAAAGTTTACGGCACAATATTTATAGAAATAAAATATAAAAAACCTATATTTTTTTAATATAGAAATCTAAACATCATTGCTAAAATCAAACCTAATACAGGACAAATATTTGACTAATCTTTTACAATGTTCTCATTAATATCATTAATATTAAGTACCTCCATGTTATGTGAATAATAAACCTCGCGTACATAAAAGAAATAATTGTACAAATAAATGGTTGAAAGTGGAAGGTATAATTTACCTTATAAGTGCCTAATCTACTTTACAACAAAAACACATGCATATATAATAATCTGGTCAATCAACGTTGTATGATTCTTAATAGTAATTTATAAATAAAATTAGTGGAACCGGCCTAACTCGAATATAAAACAATTGAATGGTCATTAGATTCTTTGTGGAATGAATTGGCGTCTACAATTATAATAGTTATGTAAAAGAAAAAGTTATTCGAAAAAATCGAATTTATACTGAAACAATAAAAGAAATACTACACTACAAAATTACAAATTCTATTCAATTTTTTCTTACAAAAATGTGGTTTTTAAATCCTGATCTTTAAATATCATCATCCGCAACTTCATTTTGAATATTTTTTTAGTTCGTTTTTGTCATTTGAAATGGATTTGGATTTTTAAAAATTTATTAATAGAAAATGGTCAAATGATGTATAGGGTGATATTTCAAGTTTAGGTTATATTTTGATTCAATTGTTTTGGGATTAAAATTTTTGATTTTATAAAAACTATATTTATTTTATATTTATATTTATTTTGTATTTATCTATGATTTTGGTCTAATTTAGATTTTATTGACATCTAGTTTGTTTTGATTTTTATTAAAAATATATTTAATTTTGAAGATACTTTTTTTGTTTACGTTCAAATTCATTTCGCATTTTAGTTTAAAAATCATATTTTATCATTTCTATATCAAATTTATTTTAAATACGAATATATATATATATATATATATATATATATATATGTATGTGTGTGCCAGCAGCTCCCCGTCCTTGTTTTCCTGTCTATGCAAAATATGTATGTTGTTTGTAGGCATCCAAAACAACAATACATATAGGTTTCCCTATTTTTAAAATAATTATTCTGATAGTTCAAATTATATAAATAAGAATAAAATTGGAAAGCATAATTTGTCCGTTTTATGTATAAATATTGAAATTTGAATATAACGTTGTTATTATATACTCTTATTATTCAAAGTTTACGGCACAATATTTATAGAAATAAAATATAAAAAACCTATATTTTTTTAATATAGAAATCTAAACATCATTGCTAAAATCAAACCTAATACAGGACAAATATTTGACTAATCTTTTACAATGTTCTCATTAATATCATTAATATTAAGTACCTCCATGTTATGTGAATAATAAACCTCGCGTACATAAAAGAAATAATTGTACAAATAAATGGTTGAAAGTGGAAGGTATAATTTACCTTATAAGTGCCTAATCTACTTTACAACAAAAACACATGCATATATAATAATCTGGTCAATCAACGTTGTATGATTCTTAATAGTAATTTATAAATAAAATTAGTGGAACCGGCCTAACTCGAATATAAAACAATTGAATGGTCATTAGATTCTTTGTGGAATGAATTGGCGTCTACAATTATAATAGTTATGTAAAAGAAAAAGTTATTCGAAAAAATCGAATTTATACTGAAACAATAAAAGAAATACTACACTACAAAATTACAAATTCTATTCAATTTTTTCTTACAAAAATGTGGTTTTTAAATCCTGATCTTTAAATATCATCATCCGCAACTTCATTTTGAATATTTTTTTAGTTCGTTTTTGTCATTTGAAATGGATTTGGATTTTTAAAAATTTATTAATAGAAAATGGTCAAATGATGTATAGGGTGATATTTCAAGTTTAGGTTATATTTTGATTCAATTGTTTTGGGATTAAAATTTTTGATTTTATAAAAACTATATTTATTTTATATTTATATTTATTTTGTATTTATCTATGATTTTGGTCTAATTTAGATTTTATTGACATCTAGTTTGTTTTGATTTTTATTAAAAATATATTTAATTTTGAAGATACTTTTTTTGTTTACGTTCAAATTCATTTCGCATTTTAGTTTAAAAATCATATTTTATCATTTCTATATCAAATTTATTTTAAATACGAATATATATATATATATATATATATATATATATATGTATGTGTGTGTGTTGGTCTAACCACCACAATCGGTTAGTGTGTATGCGCGGGGTTTTTACATTTGAAACGACCATAAAAAACATTGTATGCAGCAATCTTAGATTCAGATATACGAGACTTTCTACATTTATCCAAAAGACATAAATAAAAATATTATGTCTAAAGCTGCAATGTGTGTGTGTGTGTTTCAAATAATCAGAGCGTCAAATATCTTTTTCAAATAAAAAATGAAACTACAACGCAAAAGAAAATAAAAACAACCATTGAATTTAATGGAATAAAAATAAAACAAATCACATTAAATATATATATACAAAGATCCTTTTTTTCTTCTTTCGTAGTTAGAATCTTCTTTTTTTTCCGGTTTTCTCCAGAAAAACAAAAAATAATAAAAGAACACATGACGTGGCAGCTTTCTATTCGCCAACAGAAATGTCATTATATCTTCCTCTTTGCCGGCCATATCAAACTTTGCCTTGACCACAAAGGCTGGAATCACATGGGACGCAGAACATTCCCCTTTCCGTGTACGCGCGTGAGTTTTCACACGGAACTTTTCACGCGCTCGAAACTTCACGACCGGCCGTGCTCCGTCACGCGCCAAACCTTCACCGACTTATCCAAGCTCCCGCTGTAAACCGTCCACCTTTGGTCCCCTTTCTCCGTTCCTCCGCCGTTATCTTCTTCCTCCACGGCGGCGAGACACTTGATGGGGCCCATGTGGTCCGTTAGAACTGACGAGCACGTGTGGGTCCCATCGTGATGTCTACGCCAGACGCATATGTTCTTGTCTGCTCCGCCGCTAAGGAGGAGATTCCCGGCGGCGGCGAGACAGAGAACCGCCGTGCGGTGGCCGTGAAGGGTTCCACCATGGGAGAGGTGTTTCTGCCTCTCCCAGAAGTTAACGGAACCGTCAGAGGCTCCGCAGTAAACAACAGCCGCCGTCAAGTTGACGGCTAAAGCCGCTACCGCGTTCTCTTGCTTCATCAACACGTTAATCAAGAAATGCTTTGTTCCTCTTCCTTGTAGCTCACGTTTCCACACCTTCAACGTCCCGTCTGCAGATCCGGTGAAGAGCAAATCGTCGAAACCAGAGGAAACGGTGTTAATGGCGTCGTCATGGGCTTCGATCGATTCCAAGAACTTGGAATCAGACAATCTCCAGACCTTGAGGGTCTTGTCCCAAGAGCCAGAGTAAAGCAAACCCAGTTCTTCGTTCAAGCTCAGACAAGACACTGCATCGAAATGTCTGATCTTGAGTACGTTCTTGTTCCTACGAACTTCTACATAATTCTTCGGATTCATGGATTTCGTCAGGAATTCCTTCAACGTCGGCAAGCTTCCGAGACGAGAATATCTCCCTGGATTGCTCCTCGAGCCTCTCCAAACCCGGATTTTGCCGTCTTGATGACCTGTGAAAATCCGGTTATCTCCGGTTAAGACAATCGTCTTAACCAAACCGCTGTTCGATTTGAAACCCGAAAAATCCTTGAGATCTTTCCAAACCCTAATGTTCTTCGAGTCCGAGCCCGTGAATAGAAGGTTTCCGGACGCTGCTAACGAGTACACATGCCCTTCTTGCCTCATGATCGTTCCGATCAAACCGGTTTCTGAATCATCGGCTAAATCGTGGTTTTTCCCGGTTTGGTAGATCCACGGAGACTTGTAGTACGGAGAGTACGTCTGGTTCCACGGCGACGGAGACGGCGACGGTGACGTGGACGGAGTCTTGTCGGTGTACGGAGAGAAAGTATGGTTCCATGGAGAGAGCACGGACGGAGACAAAACTGTCTCGTCGCTTGTCGTTGTTGTCGAAGCGTTGCTCGGTCGCTGATAACTATCGTTATCGTCGTTGGTGTTGTAAGCTTCGTCGTCAATGGCGGGGTCGGATTTCAAGAAAGCTGCGAAGGTGAGTCTACGGTGATGGTGATTCTCTGCCATCATCATGTCGTTGGAATAATTTTTGAGGAATTCTAACAGTTGTAGGAATTTTTTGAGGATTTTCTGGGAAGCATACGAGGATTGGAATGGTAATGGAAACAATGGGTTGAAACCAGAAAAGTGAGATGCCGTTTGGTGTGTGGGAAAATGTTTTGGGGATTTCTGGGGAAAATTAACAGTGGTAGGAGCGGAAGGTGATTGGTATATATAGGAGAGGGGTGGCGTGATGGAGAGTAGGAGTTGGTGAACTGACGACGTGGGTTTGTGCCACGTGGCGCTGGAGGTTCGAGACGTGAGTGTCCGCTACCGGGAGTACCGGTTTTTCTGGAAAAAGAAATAGAATAAGGCATGTATAATAATGAAAAGTGAACAGACCAAACAAATAATTGATAAATTGTATGGCGAAATAAGAGTACCATAAAAGCTTTTATGAGAGTATGTATAGCACATGATTAGGATTCTTATTATTTGTATATCATTTGTATATGAAATATAAATCGGGTTTCTTCCCTTTTTTCATGCAATTTTCAGTTCAATTGAATCGAACCGAACCAAATATTTATTAGATTGAAACATCATCAGTCATTTCTATACAAGTCGTCGAATTCGTATCAACTATAAATTCTATATGAATACACAAATTCTAAATACATCCTAGAAGTTACCAAATACTTAATTATATATTAGAATGGATGTTCCTATATGTAGACGGATAAAGTATAGTGGAAAAATTAAAAGCGAAATAATTATAAGATATAAACTGTGTTTATGAAATGTGATCAATGTGAAAATATAATTGAGGGTTGTGGGAATACAAAAAGATAACGTGTGTGTGGCTGTTCTGGCGGCGTTTCATCATCACACGTTGCATAAACGTAACGAGAAGGGTATCCTCGGTCCCGAAAGGGATCCTATTTACAACGAGAATTTTACTATAAATCTCTCAAACCTTTTATTTTTATTGTTTTCTATTTTTAATTAATTCAAAAAATATTGATGATGTGTCATTTCCATTTAACCCATATCGAATTCGTGCGATTAAATTTGGAAATTCATTGAAATCGTTAATTAGTAGTGGGTCAATATATTTGGATTTCAAAATTTTATTATTTAGTATAAACTAAAATTATTTTTGTATATTATTATAGAAAAATAATATTGATGTATTGAACTGAAAATTAAAATAAAGTTTATCAGTTTAAATTGAACTCTTCTCAAATGAAATGTATTTAGTTGTTTTATTTTATTGATTTTATTATTTATTGAATTATTTAATTTAACTTTGGGAATGCGATGGTCTTTTCTTCCTGATCTTCGACTTTTCTCGCTCCCTGGATAAATGTACTATAAAGTTGTAATATTTTAATGCTTTCAATTATTTTTTCATTTTCATATATAATAAGATACACGACTTCCTCGTTTTTCTTTCGTCTTTTCGTGTTCATGACTTTCTTTCAGAGGAAAAGGAAATATTATGACGCGGAAATCAAATTTTTTTCATAAAATTGTTGACCATGTTGTTTAAATGGAATCAATATATATATATATATATATATTCATTCATGACGCACAATATCTTCGAGGGTTGATGTTGTGAACTGTGTTAAAATTTCCCAGTTACAAAGTAATGTTTGTTAATGGGAATGCGAATCTTATTATTGACCCAAATATTTGGTTTTCAATTTGGGGCAAATTAATATAGAAAAATAAAATGTCATTTCTCAACATTTAATTCAAATAATATCCGCAAATCCGAATGATTTCAACTTATTTATCACGTAGTAGTATTATTTTACTTTTGAACAGAAAATCATATTTAAAAGTACATTTTAAGAATGTTTTAAATATGGAATCTCCGCAAGTTTCAAAGTGTAGAATCTCTATAATACGTGTAACTATTTCAATTCATAAGCATGTCAGAATTCGACTTCAATATAAAAATTATCTAATTCTGTTTTGTTAAATCAAATAAATCAAATATAAATCGAAATAAATTTGCATGTGACTGAAAAAATAAACTAAAAATAAAATTCTATTTTAGCACATAAATATTTGTAAAATAAAATCAAATCAAATGCAACAATTATTGAACCAAATCTAAAATCTAAATTAATTGAATAAATGTAGTTATTTCAAAAGCAAAAAAAAAATATTTAAACACAAAATGACGTGAAAAACCAAAATATACATCATAATCTATAAAAATCAAAGTTACCTTATCTTTATTTAGGGAACATTTTCCTATACGAATTTAGGTAAATGTAACATTTTCATACACGTATTTTTAATTTGACAAAAAACTACATTTGAATTCAAAATTTTTCAAATATCTATACGAATTGTTAAAACTAACAGTAATTTATTATATAAATAATCATCATTTTCGTTAAAATTTTTCAGATTCTATTAACTAGTGGCTGACGTGTATGGTAGTTACAACAATTATATAACTAATGCATTAGTTAACAAAATCCGAAATTTTTTAACGAAAATAATGATTATGTATATAATTTTAATTTTAACAACGTGTAGATATTTGAGAAATTTTGAATTAAAGTATAATTTTTTGTCAAATAAAAAATACGTATATAAAAATGTTATATTTTATTAAATTTGTATAAGAAAATAATATTTTTCCTTTTATTTTCCATTGGTTTTTCACCATCTGAAATATCAACCCGCCGTAATGGACCGTCAACGCTTTCACATTTTTTCCCCACCTAGTACAAATCATCCACACTTCTTGTACTGTTAATTAAATGTTACTTTATCCTTTCCAATGACATATATAAAATATTTATGTATGCTAATATTCAATTAAAAAATCATTGCATATTTACTCTCCAAATTTGAATAGAAAAATATCCAATTGTCGTGCCCATAATCATAATCTTTTTTTTTGTATGACCATAATCATATTCGAATTCGAATCCGAAAAATCTCTCGTCAAACACGGTTTTATGTTTATAAATTCGATTTTTTAATATCTAAAAATTGCATCAGATATATATTTTTGGTGGTCTATCCTAAAATTTGACGATTTAAACTATATAATAGTAAATAGTACAAACTCTTTTAAGTTATATATTTTTCCTTAAACAAAATTGTATCAGATATACTATATACTATATACTATATTAGCATATATACTATATTCATATTTTATAAACTTAATTTAACGTTAACAAATACAACAAAAAAAATTTCAAATTTAATTCGTTCAACCGGTGAAATGGATCTTAAGTTCGTACTTTAAATTTAGAGAGAGATTCCAGTAGATTTTCTCAGATTAATATAGATTTTGACCTAAGATAACCCGTTACTAAAAAAACAAGTGGTGATAGAGAATTAGGCTGCAAACCAGAATTTGTTCGACATGTGAGTGCCACGTGAGATATGTTGAATGTACGTGTACAATCGTTGTCTGAAGCAATGTCTGGTACGTATAAGCACCGTAGCAACAATGGCAATGGTAGAATTAACAAATCCACATACGGAATGATAAAAAAAAACCCTAAGGATATAAATATTCGAAAAAATAATAATTATAATAAAACTGAATGGTCATACTTGGCACTCCCAGACAAAGCCAAATGTCTGCACAAGACAAAATCTCAATATCTAGTTTTGTTAACCTAGATTCAATGGGGCCATTATCAAAAATGCCCTTATTTTACTACATTAACTTCATGGCATATCCCTCACTTGGCGAAAAAAAAAACATCTTCAGACAATACCTTTATAAAATTGCTCTCTCCATAATACCCTCGACACCTTTTTTTAATCTCTCGATTTGCGTTTCTCTCTCTTCTTGTTTCTCTCTCCTCACGCAGCTTCCCACCTTCTCTCGCGATAAATCCCCGCCGAAAAAAACCAGAAATTACCGGTGAAATCACAGCTAATCTACCGGCAAAATCCTTCGATTTGTCTCGCGTTTCTCTCTCTTCTCGTTTCTCTCCCCATAAATTCTCGCCGAAAAAAATCAGAATCTACCGTCGAATCTACCGGCGAAATCTCACCGATTCTACCATCAAAATCGCCTCAAATCACAGCATTTCAGTGAGATCTGTATAGATCTAGGAAAAAGGCAAGTTGTCATCGCACAACCCAGTATTTATTTTCGGTTTAATTCGACCTAACATGTGTATAGATATGACCTCATTTTTCTTATATATATCACTAAAACCGGTATTGAATGGTCACGTTGGTCACACTGGTCACGTTGGTCACTCTGGTCACACTGGTCATGTTGGTCACACTGGTCATGTTGGTCACTCTGGTCACACTGGTCACTTTGGTGACTCTGGTCACTTTGGTCACTCTGGTCACAGTGGTCACTTTGGTCACTGTGGTCACTCTGGTCACTTTGGTCACTCTGGTCACTTTGGTCACACTGGTCACTTTGGTCACTCTGGTCACATGTATCTTACGAATCTTATTCTATACAGGCATAATGGATGCAGTCGACGAGAAAATCACAATTATTTATTTCAAGTCTGATGGAAAGTGGGTATTGAATGGTAATAGGGAATACGAATGGGTTGGAAAAGTTAAGGATGGGAAGGGAGTCATATTCATGTGTCCTCCAACTGAATTGAAATACAAACGTCTTGTTGAAGAGTTATATTCTGAAATGGAGGCTGACCAAAGTAAAACAGACATGAAGCTGAGCTATTTGCCAGCTGTAAAAGGAGGTACTGAGCCGATTTACATATCGAATGATAAACAAGTTTTAATTTATCTTCTAGACAAAATGAATGGAGGCAGAAGCATGCTTCACGTGGAGATAGAAAAGGCGAGGTCAGAAAATGAGTTTAGAATTCCTGATTTAGCGAGTTGTGTTGGACCATATGGAGGTATAATATGTGTAGGTTATAAGGATTGCGATGTTATCCAGAGTCCAAATTTCAAGAGTAAAGTTGGGAGTAATAGTTTATGTATTGGAGCAGCAGCAGCAGTTGAAGTGAATGGAAATGCGACAGATGTAGTGGACTCTGTAAATGATATTCTCGCCGATACTGTAGTTGATCGAAATGAGATTGGTACAGATTTAGTGGACCGTGAAACTGGACTTGATGGAAATGAGAAGGTTGTAGTGGAGTGTGCAACGACTATGCAAGCTGAAAGCACGTCTGATATGGCCATGGTAGTTGTGGAGGACTCATTGTTTTGTACTTCAGTATTCGAATTTACGGATGGATTGAACATAGATATTGGGTATGAGTTTGATAATAAGCAAGAAGCGCAAGAATATATACGAAAGGGTTCAGTTAAGGCTTGTTTCAGCTATGTTACAGTGAAGTCTGACAAGAAGTTGTGGGAGATAAGATGCAAGTTTGCTGGATCAGGTTGTAACTGGAAATTGCGCATCGCATCGATCCCGAGTTCGAATCGTTTTAGCGTAAGAACACACAATCCAATTCACAGATGCAGACCTGTTTCAGAAGAAGCTATGAAAGGTACATCGAATTTAGTTAGATATTATTTGAAGGAAGAATATGCTGGGATCCTCGAAATTCCTAATGCTCCAGAATTAGTACGACGAATAAAAACCAAGTACGGGGCAACTGTTTCGTATTTGATGGCATTGAGAGGGAAGCACAGTGCTGAAAAAGAGATTCGCGGTAATCATGTCGATCATTACATGAGGCTTCCTGGGTGGATGTACATGCTGAGAGAAAGAAATCCTGGATCCATAGTGCGACTTGAGTTGGACAATGATCAGAAAAGCTTCAAGTACCTATTTGTCGCGTTAAGTGCAACTATAAAAGGATGGAAGTATATGCGTAAAGTTGTTGCTGTTGATGCGACATTTTTGTCAAGCGAATACAAGGGAGCATTGGTCGTGGCAACCGCGCAGGATGGAGAACATCACCAATATCCTTTAGCATGGGGTGTGATCGATAGAGAGAAAGACGCTTCATGGAGGTGGTTTATGAATAGATTGAGCGAAGTAATACCGGATGGACCTGATGTGGTTGTGATATCCGATAGGTATAAAAGTATATTGAAAGCTGTGAGAGAAGTATATAAACAAGCTTATCATGGTTTTTGTGCAAGGCACATATCGCAAAACTTGAAAGCACATGTTAATAGGGGATCCGGAAGAAAGGGTTCAAGAGGTGAAACCGTGGCTAAATTGTTTTTTAAATGTGCATCAGCATACACGGAGAAGGAGTTTGAAGAGTTGTACTCTGATTTGAAGAACAGGTATGCCTTGTGTGTCCAGTGTGACCAACGTGACCAGTGTGACCAACGTGACCAGTGTGACCAGTGTAAACTGATGTGAATATCTCATGATTTGCAGGTATCCCAAAGCGGCAGAGTACATGGAAAAAGAAGAACTTGCTCCGGAGAAGTGGGCAAGGTGTAAATTTCGGACTGAAAGATATAACATATTAACCACCAATGGTGCCGAATCAATCAACTCCGTTTTGAAGAAGGCCAAAAGGTATCCGCTACTCAGTTTGCTTGATATCTGTGTCGCGAAGACGGTAGAATGGTTCAGTAGGTACAGGGTGGAAGCATGTGGTGGCGATGATTCTCAAAAATTAACTCCGTATGTGTACAAAGCGCTGCATGAACGGTTCGAGAAGGCCTGTACGTATGAGGTTATTGAACTTAACAGGTTGAGTGGTATGTTTGAGGCAAGGGATGAAAAAGGTAGAAGACATTTGGTAAATCTTGGTGATAGAACCAGTAGTTGCAGAAAGTTTGATGTGGACAGGTATCCAT